TCACTTGGTAGCCCAGGCTGGCCTCGAACTCACAGAGATCCGCCTGCCTCTGCCTCCCGAGTGCTGGGATTAAAGGCGTGCGCCACCACCGCCCCGCTCAAAAATGCACATTTCTTATTAAAAACACAGATTTCTATTTCTTTTGTCGAAGCAGGTCTACATTCCTTCTCGCCAACAGTAAAGAACAGCTGAGTGACTCTTCTTAATATTTCTTTCACATTCTTGTAGTGTCTCTGACACAGAAACCAAGTGACAAGCAGCTTTGTGTTTATAATACCGTTGATTTTTTTGTCTGTGCACGTGGTGTGTGTGTGTGTGTGTGTGTGTGTGTGTGTGTGTACATTTGTGCAGGTGCATTTGCCCATGCATATGTATATAGAGGCCAGAGGTCAATGTCTTCATCTATTGCTCACCACTTCCTTTTTTGAGACAGGATTTCTCACTGAACCTGCAACTTGTCATTTTGGCTCGACTGGCTGGCCAGTGAGCCCTTGAGCTCTGCCTGTCTCTGTCCCTGTCTCTGTCCCTGTCTCTGCCCCTGTCTCTGTCCCTGTCTCTGCCTGACTCTGTCCCTGTCTCTGTCCCTGTCTCTGCCCCTGTCTCTGCCCCTGTCTCTGCCTGTCTCTGTCCCTGTCTCTGCCCCTGTCTCTGCCTGTCTCTGCCCCTGTCTCTGCCCCTGTCTCTGCCTGTCTCTGTCCCTGTCTCTGTCCCTGTCTCTGCCTGTCTCTGCCCCTGAGCTCTGCCTGTCTCTGCCCCTGTCTCTGTCCCTGTCTCTGCCTGTCTCTGTCCCTGTCTCTGCCCCTGTCTCTGCCCCTGTCTCTGCCTGTCTCTGTCCCTGAGCTCTGCCTGTCTCTGCCCCTGTCTCTGCCCCTGTCTCTGTCCCTGTCTCTGCTTGTCTCTGTCCCAGCGTCCTGGGAATAGACACACTGTGACGCACTGGGGACTCGGATCCTCGTGCTCCCCCAGCAAACTTTTACCCTCCTGGCTGTCTCCTCAGCCCTTATTTTTTGTTTTTTTGAGACAAAGTTTTGCTGTGTGGCCCTGCCTGGCCTGGAACTTGCTGTGATCCTCCTGCTTCAGCCTCCCACGTGCTGGGATTACAGGCTTGCACCGCCACACTTGGCTCGACCCCGACCCCGTTTTCTTGTTTTAAATGAAATTTTATTTATTTTATGTGCATGTAGAGGTGTGTATGCGTGCACGTGTGTACATGCCATGGCATGTGGCAGAGGTCAAAGAACAGCTTGTGAAAATAGTTCTTCCTTCCGCCACGTGGATCTCAGGGATTAAACTCGGGTCATCGAGGCCTGGTGGCAGGTCCCTCCGCCTTCGAGCCCCTACCCAGCCACTCTGCTTTCTTGATCATGGGTGAGTGTATCAGTTTGCTCATAAGGCCTAGAACTCTATGTAGCACTAGTTGGCCTTGAACTCAAGCCCCCTGCCTCAGCGATCATGACCTGAGCCACCATGTCTGACCTGATTTTCTCACTGGTACTATATGCCTGTCCACACAAACGTCTCAACTTCCTAGTTTTGTTCCTGCATATTATTAGCCTGTAAGCAGAGGGTCTGTTTGTTTCCTTTTGTAGAACTGTGGATTGAGCCCAGACCTCACACAGGATGATGGGTGAGCACTCAGCTCCTGAACCCCTACATTAGTGCCCCTGCCATTTTTTTTTTCAAGCAATTCTGAGTTAGAATAAAAACTGCTTCACCCGGGGATTAATGAAAAATCATCCATCCATTCATTTTTGTTGAATGAGGATTGAACTTGGGCCCTTAAAAAAGCTAGGCACATGGTCTACCATCAACCCATACCCCATTACCTCCCACCCAAAGCATTTTAATTTTATGATATCAGAAAAAAAAAAAACATAGAATTAACCCAGTTAAACCCAGACTGGCCTCAAGCTTGCTAAGCAGCCAAAATGACCTTAAACTTCTAATCTTCCTGCCTCTATTTCCCAATTTCTGGGCTTGCAGGTGTATACCACCACATCCAGTTTATGGGATGCCGAGGATCAAACCCAGGAATGTATTTAAAACATTTTCTAAGCTCTCAAGGAATCCCTCGATATTACAGCAGGGAGAAACCTTGAAGAAAATCTAATTCAACCACCCACTTATTTTCAGGACAGCTTTTGCTCAGGCAAGCACATGCACATACTAACAACACTCATCTGGATTAGAGGAAAACTGATCATAGCTAGAGACCAAGTCATGGCAGCCAGGACCAAAATTCCAGCCCCTGCCTCCATTGTCTTTCTTTTAGCAAGGACAGCAGGCAGACAAAACAGACCAAGACCCTTGGAGAGAAGGGTAAGTCAGGCACGGTGGTGTGTGCCTACAATCCACAAACATGGGAGGCTAGCCTGGGTTACAAGAAAGACACCCCCCCCTCTATATATATATATATACATACACACATATATATAGTGTGTATGTATGTATATGTTTATGTATCTGTATATATGTGTACATATATGTATATATACATGTATATATATACATGTATTGTGTGTGCATGTGTGTGTGTGTGTGTGTGTGTGTGTGTTTTCAATCGAGGTGATGCACAGCTTTAGTCTCAGTACTTGGGAAGCAGAGGTACTCAGATTTCTGTGAGTTTAAGGCCAGCCTGGTGTACATTGTAAGTTGCAGTCCAGCCAGAGATACATAGTGAGACCCTGTCTCAAAAACAAAACAAACCAAACCAAAAGTAAACAACCCCCTTCAAACAGAAGACCAGAAGTTGTTATTAATGTATTAACACACAATGGCACATTCAGTTTCTCCTAATGGCATAAAAAATGTCCATTTCACCTTTCCAAATAGGATACTTGAGACACTGATGATTCCTCCCATGTTAGCACCGGTTTGATGTTGAGATCTTCCAAGTCAAGACTAACCAACCAATCCTAGTTAGACCACATGGAAGTGCCCTGTGTTGGCCACCAGGGGGAGGCAGTGAGTACTGCCATGGTCCTGCAAAGGCTCGGCAGGTTGTTTGGGAAAACAGTTGGTAACTAGGTCCTTATTTTTTTCTTTTTTCTTCTTTGAGGGAAAGCGTGTGTTTGTTTGTTTGTTTGTTTGTTTTTGTTTTTGCTTTGTACTTAGGGTCTCATGTAACCCAGGCTGGCTAGCCTTGATCTTCCACCTCCTAAGTGAAGGGTTCACCCGCACCCCACTGCGCAAGCCCTGCAAGGATTACACTTGTTTTCTACCCTTCATCCCTGGCACTGTTCCAAAGGGTGGGAATTTTTTTAGTGCTTTCTTTTGCAAGACTAAATGAATACCAGAGTCCTATAAACAGCAGGAAAGAATAGTTGGAGGGCTGACTAACAAGACTGATGGGGGAGGCATCTCGACAGTCAGCCAGGCTCGTTCATCTCTGGGTTTCAAAGCCCACACTCTTTCAAGTCAGTAGGAACACATACAGAGCCAAAGGGTTTCCTGTGTTGTCTGCCCATGACCTCCTTCTCCTTCCTCAGCAACAGGCTTCCCTTCATCACCCCCCTTGTCATCTTTGGGTCATTCTCCCACTAGACGCATCCCTAGGAAGGTCTCCAGTGGACAGCTGCTGGGAAAATAGTAAATGGACAAAAGAAAAAAAAAAAGAGCACTCCGGATCTAGCTTTGGTTTAGCCTTCTGATTTAACAGGGCACAAACAGCCAAGTTATCACTCCCTTATTCATTCTCCATCTTCTCTGGGAACTTCACCCCCACATAGCTTCGGCAGCACACAGACTAAAATTGGAACCATACAGAGAAGATTAGCATGGCCCCTGCGCAAGGATGATACACAAATTCGTGAAGCGTTCCATATTTTTTTTAATTAAAAATCATAAAAAAAAAAAAGCGGGGGCTGGAGAGATGCCTCAGAGGTTAAGAGTACTGACTGGTCTTCCAGAGGTCCTGAGTTCAATTCCCAGCTTTCACATGGTGGCTCACAACCATCTGTAATGAGATCTGGTGCCCTCTTCTGGCCTGCAGGCATATATGCAGGCAGAACACTGTATACATAATAAATAAATAAATCTTAAAAAAAAAAAAAAAGAAAAGAAAAGAACTTCACCCCCAGAGGCACAGTGGCTCCTGTGTGTAAGCCCAGGACTCAGGGGGTTGAGGCTGCGAGGGCTGAGGAGAAGAGCTGGGGCTATGTGACCAAGCTCCAGGTCAGCTTGAGAAACATGGCAAGACTCTCAGAAGGAGCAGCCAGAGGAGAGCTAGTGATTACATTAGATCTGCCCACGCAATTCAGCCAGTGCGAGAATAACAGGCCAGCCAGACTGACTGGCAGGAGTCTTGCCCACTCAGATGCCATCTTTTATTCTGCTAGAAACTGGGGGCGGGGGGTGATATTAGAAGGTGCAGTTTCCTTTCTTTCGTTCACTTAGTTGTTTGTTTTAAAGACGCAGTTTTCGGGCCAGGATCACAGCCAGCCATTTCCTCCATGACACTCAGGAAAATATCAGCCAAGATAAACCTGGATCCACATACCATCTCTATTTCCTTTCTTGTTTTTCCTTTCCACGGGGTCTCACTATGCAGCCTAGGCTGACCCCAAGTTTGAAATTCTCTTTCCTCAGCATCCCCCAAGAGGCTGGGATGGCAGCTGAGTGACAGCCATGCCTTGTACTCTCTTGCTGTCTACAGTGGTGACCCTAGGTAGTGGCCTCTTTCTACCTCAACTTCCCTCCTAAATAAAGATACTATTCATCTCGTTCTAAAGACCCAGCCAGTATTTCTACCGCTCTTCAAGTAGTGTTTGGTTCAAAATAAGTACCATATTATCAAGTAAGGATATGGGATGGGGATGGGGGGTGGGGGCTCATCGTTGAAGCACTTGCCCAAGTCCCTGGGTTCGATCTCCAGCACCCCAAATTGGTGATGACGACGACGTGAATGATAGAACGGTACAAATACAAAATAAAAATTTGGGAGCACCTTGGCACATAACAGTAGTTAATGAACATTTAGTTCCCTCCCCATTTTGTTCCCAAATGTAAAGGATATATTTCCCTAGAGCTCAAATTCTAGACAACCTTTTCAAGGCTAGAAGAGTATCCAGGACGGGCCAAACAAATAAACAAACAAACAAATAAAAGTGAGAGGCAAAAGAAAGAGCTGGAAAGAGAAAGGCATCGATGTAGGCATCGGGTTATTCCAGGCAGGAAAAATACACCAACAAAGCTGTCTTTCTAGAAGGATTCTTCGGACGAAGTTAAAAATGATAACAGACCCGGCGTGGGTAGGGGGAAGAGGTGAAGAGTTCCTCCCAACAGTGTCCCGGAGATGGTTGGTATCTAAGGGACTGCCCCGGTAGTTAGGTACGGAAAACCGGGAAGGGCGGGAAGTGAGTATTAATACCAGGGACAGAGAAGTGATGAACCACGTCGGGAGCCTAGGGGTCGTGAGGGTGAGAGGCTGGCCTCTGGGAACGCCGTCGAGGAAGGCAGAGGGAGGGGTGGCCCTGGGTAGAGCCAGTATTTTAGGGAAACGGCAGTAGGAGGCGGTGATTTAGGGCCAGCACTCGGTTTCCGAGCTTCCTTACCCGCGATGGCTACTGCCGGGGCTCTCCGCGGTTGGGAAGCTCTCATCTTTCGCAACCACCCTAGCCGACCCACACCTCCACGGAGCAAGGAACCAGGCTCCCATTGGCTGCCACATGCCCGGTACGGCGACCCCGACCTGCGCCCCTCCTAACCTCGGGTCCGCCCGGCCCTCATATTTGCATATAGGGCCTCCCAGGCTTTCGATTGGCCCCTGCAGCAGGCGGCCATGCCCCCTCGGTCGGGAATCTGATTAACCGTCACTGCGCCCGCCCGCGGAGGGAAGCGCCTTAGGTTGTCCCTGGAGACGCGGAGGACGCGCGAGGAGCGCGTCTCCGCCTGGCCCCGCCCCGCCCCGCCCACCCCCACCCCACCCCCACCCCCACCCCCGGGTTCGGGCGATGGGAATGGGGGGTGGAGGCGCTGCACAGGGGCAGGTGGAACGCGGCCACCCAAAGCTGCTGCTCTTCAGGTCGCCTGGGAGAGACAGGCTTACTTTGGTGTTTAGATTCTCTAGAGACAAGTACTTATCCCGGACCAGAAGCTGGATGCTCGGCGAGAGAGCAGTGGATTAAAAGCACGGAATCAGTCGTTTTCTTTTCAGGCGTGTTTGTAACTGTGGGGGCCGTGCGCTCTCCGAGGGTCAGCGTCTTTCACAGTATAATGGGTATTGCAAACCTATAATGAGCCGCTCGGGCTTATTGGATCATGACGTCTCTTCCAGAGTTTGGAGGGGTCATGGTCTGCACTGAACCGACTGCAGAGTCGGTGAGACTTAAGGGAGCAGGGGTCTCGTTTGATTGTATTTAGGGCGGGGAACCTCTGTAGTGACTGGATTCAGTCTTTTCGTTTCCTCCTTCCTTAATCTGTACTGCCCACCTGCCAAACTGCCTGTAAAGACAGACAGGCAGAAAGAAAAAAAAAGTTCTTCCTGCAAGTGCTAGTTCAGCATTTGTTGAAAGATCAAAGGGTTGATTTGAAGCTACTGTGTTTTTAAACAGTGGGGTTTTGTTTCAGACAAGGCTTTTTGGCCCGGAATGTTGATCCTTTTGTCTCTACATCTGGGATCACAGGTGTGCCTTACGACACCGGGTTTAGCCACGCTGTTTAACTCTGCTGGGGATTGATCCCAGGGCTTTGAACATGCTAGGCACGCACTCTGCCAACTGAGCTACAGCTTCGTCTTCCTCTTCATTCTTAATTTTTTAGGTGCTTGACTTGATGTCACCGAAATGTGGCCGTTCCTGCGGCAAAGGTTTAGTCTCAAGAAGTAAGACAGTGAATGGATCCTCACTGCCGAGAACCTTTGCAAGCAGCTTGAGAGGAAATGTAGGCAGGAGAAACACGGAAACCTTTGGCGGCAAGCACTAAAGGAGGAGGTGGGAGCTACGTGTCTGATGCAGAGGTTGTCCAAACTAATCCAGGAAGCTTTGCGGGGGGGGAGGGGGGGGTTCTTTGTTGCGGAATATTCCCTTACCCTGTGTGAAGATGTGTCACCGTGATTGGTTTGAAAAAGAGCCGAATGGCCAATAGCTAGGCAGGAAGAAATTAGGCGGGACTTCTGGGGATGGAGAGGCTCCTGGAAGAGAGGCAGAATCGCCAGCCGGTACTAAGTCTTGTGTAGTTCTTTAGGAGCTGGCAGTACAGAGAAGGACTTGCTACAGTTCTCAGCAGCTTTCCTGGGAACTGTGCCAATGGTGTGTCCTGGAGTTATGCAATAACGGGCAAATGCAGGAGAAGGAGTGAAGGGTGAGGAACCAAGATAAGGGTGCTGATATGAATCTGTTATCTGTCATCCCAGGCTTAGTGAAAGAGGATCTTCTACCCGAGGCAACCTGGGCTACAAATCAGACTCCTGTCTCAACGCCCAAAACAAAAGAAAAAAACTCACCCATGAAACCCAAGGCCAAGAGACACTGAGGTCTCACCTCCCCGTCCCGTGTTGACCTCGTCCGCTTTGCACTGACCCTTGAACTTTGCCCAGGAGTGTCGTGTGTAGGTCCCTAAGAGGCCCAGCTTCCTTCTCCTGACACCCATCCATAACCACACACAGGACAATTTCCAAATGTGACTGTAGCTCTGTCCCCAAGAGCTGCTTTCTGCCATTGCCCGGAGGAGAGAGATTCCAAGCACTCAAGCTTATTAAGTCAGAAACAAAACCCCCACTGACATAGTATAAAATTATTTCAGAGTGAAAACATTTGAGCCACACTACATGCACAAAGAAACTGAATCAGAGTTTCTCTTATCTGAGGAAAGCAGCCACCATAAACCTGAGGGGAGGTTGTTTCTATCAGAGAAATTTTCTTCTAGGGTACCCTAGAGAGTGCTGTGTTGGGGGTGTGGCTTAATGGTAGCTGGTCTAGTAAGCGCAGGGTCCTGGGTTTGGTCTCTAAGCATGCGGAAGGGGCCTTGGGAGTCGTCAACAGCTACTAATAAACTTTCATGGCCAGCTGTGTGGAGCGCTGGTCTGCTGAGGTGGTGACCTAAGCTGGAAGTGTGCTTCTCACCTGCTGTCCACACGTGCAGGAGGCAAAGAGAGAGCTTAGCCCCAGGACAATGGCAGCCTGTGACCTGATGTTTACATTCACCCTAGAGTGAATAGAGGAACCAAGGTGGAATCAACAGCCATCTGCTACTCTTCTAGAAACCTCTCTATCACCCACACCCCGCCTTCTCTCTCCCCTGCCTCCTCTCTGGTGCCCTAAGGGCCTAAGTGACCACCATCAACTGGCCACCCAGCAGATGTTTCCCTAAGACCAACTGTCACAGCTCTGTTCTCCTCCCCCAGCCATCTCTCTGTTTCCCCAGTATCTCACCAATCTGCTCTGCTGGGCTGACGCTTCAGTTTCGCTGACATCCCACCCCCACCCCATCCCTCCGGAGCCATATTGTGATGGAAATGAAGGACAGGATACTGGACTGAACGGCAAAGATTTATGGTTTACAGAGGGGCTCCATAAAATCCCTGACAACCGGTTATTTATGAGAAAACTGGCTGCAATGGGAGCTAACAGGCCAATGTCTGGCGAGGCTGGCCTTTCAGGAGGGCTGACAGGAACAAGCAAGGTGAGCAGGCGAGCTGCCCTGCTGTGGGCCAAAGCAGGTTTCAAGAGTCAGGCATACATACCCGCAGGCCAGAGAGCAATGGCCGAGAAAACCTTTGTGCTGGGTAAGCCAGAGACCGGAAAACCAGCTGGGCATAGTGTCACAGACCTGTAAAGCTAACAACCCGGAGTCAGAAGCAGAAGTGGGAATCCAATAGCTTGGATTTTATAGAAAAGTCTAGGCCAGCCTAGGCAACAAAGGAGATCCTGACTCAAAAACAAAAATATAAAGAACAAAACAAAACAGAGCAGATGTGGGTTTTCTAGACCTGTATTCCCAGCCCTCAGAATGGAGAGGCAGAAGTGTTGGAAGTTGGAGGCCACCCTGGGCTGCATAGTGAGTTCTAGGCCAGCCTGAATCACAGAGAGAGGCCCTGTCTCAAAAAATAGGTTGATCCATTGCACTCCAAACGGATAAGCCTGTGGTTCCCCCAAATGTGGGAAATTCCACTGCAGGTAGTGGGGGAGGGCATGGCATGAGTAAAGTAAAAATACATTAGTGAATAAATAAATAAATAACAGGGAAAGGGAAATGAAACGAAAGAAGAGGAGGGAGTCAGGGGGAGGAAGGAGACAAGGAAAGGAGGCTGGAGATGTAGCTCAATTGGTAGAGTGCTTGTCTAGCAAGCATGAAATCCTGGGTTCGATTCCCCAGCACCTCTTAACAGGGTGTTGTGGTGCACACCTATAATCGCAGTGCTCAGTAAGTAGAGGCAGAGGACTCAGAAAGTCAAAGTCATCCTCAGCTATATCGTTAGTTCAAGACCGACCTGCCTGGAGACTAAGACCCTGCCTCGAAAGAAAGAGAGAGAGAGAGATAAACAAAGAACTCACTCACTCATTTAGTAAGGGGCTCTGCAGGCCTAGGTGTGAGAGGTTGAAGCAGAGTGTTGAGGATCTTCTCAGCTGTCAAAATATTTGGACTGGGACCCCACCTGAGAACTCCAAATAAGCGATGAGTGTACATGGGTGTGTGTGTGAGAGAGAACAAGGTCCCGGACCCAGGCTGTTATTTTCACTGTTGCTTTTCTTCCTAAGGCCCCCACCCGACTCAATAAACACAGTGAAGACCCTCAGAAGTTTCATTTGCTCAGCAACTGACATACAGGCTCTTCCCCAGGCTTAGGATCTTTCCAAGTAGTTAATTAGAAAAAAAGATCTTTATTCTGATCCCCAAATCAGAGTCCATCCTGACAGCTCATTCTTCCCGGGATGATCAAAATAAAGCCAAAGATGGATTTGCGGTAGGCCGTGGGGAAGAGGCAAAGGGTGCTGAGGAGGTAAAACTTTGCATACCACAGATGTATTTTTCTTTAAGTCTGTCATTCATGTGGGGATGTTGTAGAAATGTACACACATAACTGGGCTGAGACAATATCTCAGTCCATAAAGTCCCCACCGCACAAACATAAGTTCAGATCCCCCAACACCCATGTCAGAAAGCCAGGCATGGTAGTATGTATGTTCCTATCGTTCTAATACCAGAAAGGTAGAGTCAGGAAGATCGCCGATGCTTGCTTGGATAGCTAGTCTTGTCTGATTGCTGAGTTTCAGATTCAGTAAGAGATGCTACCTCAATGAATAGGGTGGGCTGTGGCGGCGGAGAGCTTTGTTGACATGGGTTTTCTCCTCATACGGAGATGAGCCCAACTTGGTCCTGATCATACACATTAGTTACTTTTCTGTTGTGGTGGTAAAACATCATGATTGGGAAAACTTAAAGGAGAAAGAGTTTATTTGATCTGACAGTTAGAGAGTCCATGCTGGCAGAGTGAAGGCAGTTGGCAGGGCTACTGCAGGAACAGCTAAGAGCTCACATCTTGTTCCAAAAGCAAGAAGCAGAGAGAACAAACCAGAAACGGTGTGAGTCTTTAAACTTTCCAAACCTGCTGTAGGCGGGCTTTTCTTTCCTGCCAGCCAGTTCCCAAATAACCAACATATAAATTATAAATGCTTGGCTGATAGCTCAGGCTTATTACTAACTAGCTCTTACAACTTAACTTAACCCATTCCTATTCATCTATGTATTGCCATGTGACTCA